ATCTGCTTTGTTCCAGCACCCATGTTTTACTCCATAGAAACCCAGGAGACCCCCAACACCCTCACCATCTACAGCAGGACCAGAAATACTCCCGATTAACTCTTAGCTCAGAGTGTCATTTGCCACTGCATGAATAAGTATGAATAGTACAGTTTCTAATGTCATTGCACCCATTTAAGGAGCCGATTTGTGCCATTTCACAGGACTGACTTCAAATGTCAGTTTTCCCCAAGAAACATTCCCTAGAACCTAACACGCTGCCCAATAGAAGCATTCTGCAGTGTTTCTTGCAGGCAGTGTTTGGTGCTATAGAGAAACCCACGATAGATTTAAGCTATAAACAGCCACAGCAAAATCATCAAACATGAAAACATTTTTGCTTTGTAGGCTTGCAAACAAAATAAAACATGTTGATCAATCATGAAATTATGCCTTCTTCTCTTTTTCTAGACTCTTTCCTCCCAATTAACAATATAATGCATTTATAACCATGCCAGGTCAGGGAAAACTTAGACCTATTGCATTTAAATTTCTTTTACCTCTGTACAGAGTTGGAAATTTAGTGTGTGCAACAACTTTTTGCTTGCAAACCAGAATTACAAGATGTTCGTTCGTTACAATGAATTAAAACACTTGATGAAGAGACAAATCTAAGTGATGCTTCAGTGTTTAAACCTAAATATCAAATCCGGTCTTACCACGATCAGATGAATAACCTGTGACCTGTGATGTCGCTTGGCTCCCTCAGACCGCTTCTTCGCGTCGGTCGGTATTTCCCTCCTTTAGATTTGAAGGATGCCGGCTAGAGGGACAGAGCAACTTCTTGACTCTTGCTTCCAAAGCTGCCGTTCGTAGCCTTTTATAGAGCCGGGGCTGTGGAACGGGAGAATGTAAACCCATCCCCTTCACGCCGGCACTGCCTCCCGAGAGCTTGGGAAACGCCGCTGGCAAGTGCCCCGTGGGGGCTTTTACGAAAAGATGCGCAAAAGCCGACGCAAAACATCGCCCCACTTACGACTGCATGCATCACAGCTCATACATCTGTAGGTAACTAGTTTTATGATTATTGTGAAAAACATACTTAACGATAATCACGATGATTTTTTTCCATTTTACTTTTATATACTTTCTGTTTTTCACTTATTAAAGATTTATTGTTATTTCGTTTTGTTCTTTATTTTTACTCTAACAAACAGCATGGTGTTATGGAGAGATTAAACCGTTTCTGGAAGACAAGATTTTAAGGGTGTGTAAAACCGCGTGGCATTAAAACAATGCTTAATTAAATATGCTTGCCAAGATATTTTAAAAGCCATACATTATAAAATATAAAGTTATTTCTGAATTCTTTCGTATTAGTGAATTTAGATTGTTGCTTTTGTCAGAAAATAAAAAATAATTATTAACTTTTATTAACTTTCGTCAACCTTAATGTCTTTTTGAAATCTGAACGGCTTTTTTTAAAACTGCACTGCGCAGGGGTTTTCAGAATAATACAGCGTGTTCCCTTTTCAAATACAGTACAGCCTGACAGCCCTGAGAGAACCCAGAGTTTGGAAACAGGCATAAATCAGACGGAAGGCTGACAGAGAGCTTACAACTCACAAAAAGCAGCGCCTCCTTGTACTGGAGTAGTAATGCAAGCAAGGGAAAAAAAATCAACCCAGTGCCCAACAGAGCGAGTCAGCTGGGACAAGCCAGGTGGAACTGAACTTGACCCAGTTTCTGGTGATGCAGGGAAACTGGGTTGACGTCTGGATTCAAAGACTGACCAAAAAAAAACAAAAGTAGTCACACTACACTGACAGGAACCAGTTTTGTTTAGAGATTATGGGGGACCTTTAAAGAGGGTTTGGGGTCATCACCACAGCCACCATCACTGGCATGTGGACACCAGGACTAGCCCACCCTATAGGTAACATAGGCGATCGTCTAGGGGGGGCGCAAAAGAGTGAGCAAAGACAAATCAGAAAAAATACCTCTGACTGCATTCCATCAAATTATCTGCTACTTATCCGGGGTCAGGTTGAGCCCAGACACCCTGCAAAGTATACTAATTTCTGCTGCATGTATCTGTGATGTCATTCAATCAGTCACAACTCAAAGCTCGTGATCATAGGAAAAGGTAGGAACAGTACATTGATAGCTTTGCCTTCCAGCTCATCTCTCTCTTTATCTCGACAGAATGGTACAACATCCAGATTACTGCCAATGCTGTACCGATCTGCATTTTGATCTCCTTCTTCCTTCTTCTCTCACTTGTGAACAAGACCCTGAGATACTTAAACTACTCTGCGTGAGGCAATAACTCATCCCCCACCAGGAGAGGGCAATTCACCCTTTTCCAGTCGAGAACCACGGCCTCAGACATCGAGGTGCTGATCCTCAACCTCTCTGCTTCAAACTCAGCTGCAAACCACCCGGGTGCATGCGGCAGGGCACCAGCTGATAACGCTGACAGGACCACGTCATCCACATAAAGCAAAGCCAAGATTCTAAAAACCCTGAACCGGATCCCCTCTTCTCCTTGGCTACACCTAAAAATTCTGTCCATAAAAGTTATGAATAGAATTGATGACAATGGGCAGCCCTGGTGGAATTCAACACCCACAGGGAATGAGTCTGACTTACTGCTGGCAATGCGAACCAAACTCTTGCTTTGTTTATACATGGACCTGACAGCCCGCAGCACTGGACCCCATATCCCATACTCCAGAAGCACCCCCAAAAGGACCCCTGAGGGACACGATCATATGCCTTTTCCAAGTCCACAAAGCACATGTAAACTAGTTAGGCAAACTCCCATGAACCCTCCAGTACCCTTGTGAGGGTGAAGAGCTGGTCCAGCATTGCTCCTCCTGGATCTGAGGTTTGACCAACAGGTGGATCCACCTCTCCTGTACCCCGGCATAGACCTTCCCAGGGAGGCTGAGGAGTGTGAAGATGGAACACCTTTTTAAAAGTTATTTTAAAGTCTCCTTTTTTAAAGATTGGGACCACCACCCCAGTGTGCCAATCCACTGTCCCCAACTTCCGTGCAATGTTGAAGAGGCGTGTCAGCCAAGACAGCCCAACCAAATCAAGGGCTTTCAAGAACTGGGGCCGAATCTCAACCACCCCCGGAGCCCTACCACCAAAGTGTTTTTTCGACTACTTCCGTGACCTCAGCCCTAGAAATGGGTAAGTCCCCCTTGGGGTACTCCTGCTCTACTTCCTCACAGGAAGGTGTTTCAGTGGGATTCACAAGGTCCTCTAAATATTTCACTGCCTGAATATATCCCCATTTGAGGTGAACAGTTCTCCATCCCTGCTGTAAACACCTAACCCTAACCCCCCCCCCCCCCCTGAGTTGCCTGATGGTTTGCTAGAATCTTTTCAAGGATGACCAAAAGTCATTTTCCATGGCCTCACTAAACTCCTCCCACACCCAAGTTTTTGCTTTAGCAACTGTCAAAGCCGCATTCTGCTTGACCTCCTGGTACCTGTCCACTGCTCAGGAGTCCCACAAGCCAACCAAGCTTGGAAGGCCTCCTTCTGTAACCGTACAGCTCTCTTTTTAAGGGGTCCACCACCGCAATAGGCACCAACAACTTTATGGCCACAGCTCCAAATAGACCATTCTGCAATGAAGTCACCCTTTCATGCTCAATGTCCCCTGACTCACTCCGGATGCAAGAGAAGTTCTGCCAGAGGTGCAAGTTGAAGGTCTCCTGGACAGGGGCCTCCGCCAGTTGCTCCCAGAACACCCTCATTATGCATTTTGGTCTATCAGGTCTTTCCAGCATCTTCCCACGCCATCTGATTTAACTCACAACCAGGTGGTGATCAGTTGATAGATCAGCCAATAACAGAGCACTGCTTAAGTTCAGATCTGGTAGGCTGTTTCTCCCAATCACATTCCTCCAGGTTTCCCGGTTGTTACCCACATGAGCCTTAAAATCCCCTGACAGAACAATGGAATCCCCAGCGGGGGCACCTTCCAGCACCCCCTCCAAGGTCTCCAAGAAGCCTGGATACTCTGAACTGGTGTTCAGTGCATACGCACAGACAACAGTCAGAGCCCATCCCCTGACTCGAAGTTGAAGGGAGGCGACCCTCTCGTTCACCGGGGTAAACTCCAATGTACTGTCACCAATCCAGGGGGCCATATGTAGACCCACACCTGCCCAGCCCTTCTCACCATAGAATCCAGCCCCACTCCAGGAGTTCGGTTCCAGAGCCCGAGCCGTGCGTTGAGGTGAGCACGACTGTATCTAGTCAATATCTCCCTACCTCCCTCACCAGCTCAGGCTCTTTTACCCCCAGAGAGGTTACATTCCATGTGCCTATAGCCAGATTTGGTCGCCATTATTGGCCCACAGAGGCCCCAGTCTTCACTTTACACTCAAGGCCCCTCCTGCAGGTGGTAGGTCTAGAGGAGGGTGGACCCATGTTACTCTTATGGGCTGTGCCCGGTCAGGTACCATAGGTCGAGGCCCAGTCACCAGGCACTCACCCACGAGCCCCACCCTCAGACCTGGCTCTAGGTCAGGGCCCCGGTCTTCCCAATCCAAACGGGGGTCACATCTTCCTGAATGTTTTGCACCATGGGGGTTTCCTGAATCGGCCTGGCCGCTCACCTAGGACCAATTTGCCTTGGGGGACCCAACCAGGAGCAGCATAGCTCCTGGGATCACAGAGACAGACAAACCCCTGAAACACAATAAGGTGACGATTCACGGTAGGGCTACTGAAATGTTTTTAAAATTAATGAAATGGCAGCAGAATCTCCAGAGTACCCAGGGTTGGCCCTGATGGACAGACATGACAAGGCACCATTATCACTGTAAGGCACATCAGCAACACCAGTTTGATTTGTTCTAGAACATGTTGAAATGTGACTTATGATTTAAAAAAATATGTGTGAGGGCATTTTCCAGAGGAAAGTAAAAAAAAAAAAAAAAAAACTGGAAAATAATCCACTGATAAACAGAATGGTGGGCCAGTGAACCTTCTAGAAAGTCTGAGATCAAATCGATAACAGGAAGGAGTCAGTTATGCAGTGAGAAATGTGTTGATATGGGTGAAAGCCATTGGCAGGGCCAGTGGACCTAAAGGGCAGGGTGTTCTTATCCAGGATCCACGGGGATGCATATGTGATTAACGGTGGCTTTTTGGAGCACCCTGTTGTTGCCTTTTGACCCATTTTCTGAATTTCCCCTTTGGAAACAACATTCTCCAAACCCATCTCGGTATTATTCCTGAAGACTCATAAGAAGGCTGCTGTTTGCAGTCCCATCCAAACTATATGTTTTCACAGCCTTGGAGAGTGTGGTTCCGCTGCATGGGCCGGGCTGGGCCAGACCTTCCCACCTGCGAGCCACTGCACGCCTTCAGCTCTATCACCGGCGGGGGGAGGGGGGGCAGCCCTGCCAGGCTGTAAAATGGCATCATTTGCCATTGTGCCAGAAAAAATGTATCCCAATGACACTTATTATTGTAAAAAAAAGTCTGACTACTGGGATGGTGCCAATCATGACATCAGCACGACACATGGAGCAGAAAGACAAAACGATGTATCAGTACTGATAACCAGGGAGACAAATTGCTTGTCGACTTCATAATTTTTAACGTGAAACCACTCTGGCTGCGGAGCGGGACCTTTAAACAAGGCCTGGAGAAGCATGTGACAGAAGTGCCCTTTTCCCCAGAGAAACTGTCATTAAATAAAGCACAGTCCCCCCCCCACCCACCCCCATTACGGGTACTCTGCCAGCAGGACGCATCACATGAACCCAGGCTGGAGGCCTCGCTGTGGCCCCATCTGCCAACTTTTACCATTTTTGATTTACTTTGGATCAGTGGTCCGTCCCCAAAATGCTTTCTGGTAACGTATTATTTCTGGTAGGGCAAGGCTTCCAGCTCAGACGCAACAAGGTAACTTAAGGTGCCTCTTGAAAAACCCAGTTCAGAGAAAAGCATTCCTCCGCTTTTTCACACAATACCATGATAAGAAGGATTAAAGAGG